CAAAAACACTGTAATCCCTAGGGGACTTTATTATTGTTCGCCTATTTGAAAAGTTAGTTTAAAAAATAATGGCCAACCAAAAGAGATGGAGAAAAAAAAATACTGATCACACCAAACAGAAAGACAGAAAGAGGAACATTTAGGAATATTTGTAATAACAAACTACATCACTTTAAACAAGGCACAGGGAAATAAGAAATGTTTCTGTTGGTAATAAAAAATATATTTATTAAGTGATTTCTCTGTGCAAGGCATTGCTCTAAGCATTTTATATGTACTATCTCATTTAGCTATCCCCAAATTCCTATGAAGTAGGTACTAATAACCCCACCATAGGTGAGGAAACCAAAAACAAAGAGATTATGGTATTTCCTTTGAAAAAGAAGACATTATTTTGGCTGTTACGTCAGGCCATGCTTTAAATGAACAGTTGGATTCAAGTCCAGTGCAAGATTACTCATCCTGCGCTATGCCAGGTCAGAAGGCATCACAACTTGTCAAATTATATACGAATCCTGTGCAACCACGGCAGCATGGGTTACTCTTTTGAAAAACCAAACACCGTGGAAGGCTATTCTATAACACATGGGCCAAGTCATTCCCCTAAAATGTGATGCTGCACTGTCAAGAGTTCAAGAAAGCTTGAGAGAATTCAGTTAGCCTGTGAAGTCAGTTTTCACCCGATCTTCCAGCACCCTATTACAAAAGGGCTCCTCTGCACCACATCCAACAATGAGGATCAATGGACATTAAATTAAGATAAGTAAGCGTCTGAAAGAGTGAGAGAACAGGCAGCTGGCTGAGGTTTTTCCTTCCACTATGGCTAAATATTTCATCTTCCTCCTGCAAGCGAAATGACTAGCCCACACCTAATTAAACTGCACAGCGATTGTACTGTGCTACCTTTAAAGAATGACAGACATAGGGCCTCACCAGTCATAAGCCACAGAAATCAATAGCTGACATCTACTCGATGAAATACAAATTGAGATTAGCTAGCTTCACTTTTTATTCAGCAAATTCAAGTCTGCAATCAATTCCCACGCATGTGTAGACTACAGAAATTGGTTTTAAATTGATTTGTTTCTTCCTTAGCTAATTATAGTATACAAGCAAATGAACAATCAATTGCTAACTCTACTCCTACCGTATACGTTTCAATGAGCAAAACAAGTCTGTCAAAGATAGATATTATTATGGTCTTTTCAAAGAGAACCTAAGCATTCCACATACACGGTAATACATCAGCTATTTAGTGATAATTTAAAAGACTGTCTTATTTGTTGAGCAAATATAAAACTTCCCCTGCTGTTATTAGTTAAGCTTATAGAAAGCTCTCAATTGATCAAGAGGCTGCTTAGAAAAATAGAGCTTATCAGAGTATCCAGCACATAGAGAGTTCTCGGTCAATGTTAGCTGTTAATGAGGTAGTGGGTATTGCACAATGGGGACCACTGGACTCAGAAAACCCGAGGTTCAAATCCTAGGTCCATCACCCTTTGACCCAGCAATCCTACTCCTTGTTATAAGGCCTTATTTCTGTTGAAATAAGTGTTTATGTGTACCAAAAAATGTGTAAATTAATTTACCATTCACAAAAGCTAAAAACTCGGAATCACCCTAATGTCCCTCAACTGTAGAATGGATAAATAAACTGTGGCAAGTTCATAAATGAAATACCATACAGCAGTGAGAAGGAACCAACTACTGGTCCATGCAGTGTGGCTGTGTGTAATGGAAGCTCACAGACATAATGCTGAGTCAGGCACCAACGAGGATATATGGTATGATTTTATTTATATGAAGTTCAAGGACAAGAAAAAGGAATAGATGGTCAAAGAGGCTTCAGTAGTGGTTACTTTGAGAAGAGTTATTGCCTGGGAAGGTACACAAAGGAGTCTTCTGGGGACCTGGAAATGTTCTAGACTTTGATCTGGGTGGTGGTCACATGAGCATATGCATACACAATTTCATCCAGCTGTCAACCTAAAATTCAGGTACTTTAATGTTATATCACAATTCCTTCACTTACTATAGGACCTCAGACAAATTATCCTCTCTAAACCTCCATTTCCTCATCTATGAAATGGGGATGATAACATAACTACTTCCTAGGATGGTTACGAGGTATAAATACAGTAACTCACAAAAAGCATTTACCAAGGAGCCTTGTTTGCAATTAGTGTTTGATAAATGTAGCCAGCTATTATTTCTCCCTGAGAATGCAGTCATAAACAGGCAGGATTCCAGAGTTATAAATTGCTTGAGGAATCATAATTAAGGTAGAAGCGACCGTTACAAAAACATGTGAACCTGGTTTTAAGAAAAACAAATACATCTTATACTATGTTTATAAACTTGAGGGAAAGTTCTAGATTCTTGGCTTCTATAAACATTTCCCACAGAATTCACTTATAAAACAAATTACTCTAATGAAGTTGAAATATTATTCAACATAACCCAAAAGGTAGGTGTATATTTTATTTTTAAGGCACGTCTCATGTAAAACTGGGTACATTCTTGTTTGCTGCAGTCTCTCTGGGGGCTAGACCACCCATTCTGGAAAGCTGATGCTTAGAAAAGCATTCTGACTCTGAAGACACCAATGGACCTGGAAATCAATTTCCACAGCAGTGATTTTCTATGGGAGGCCAGTGACCAAAGGAGTTTAAAGTACTTGCGAGCTTCTTGCCTGAGCATAGCTAAAGAATGAATTACTGGTCTTAAAAACTGCTGCATTATTTCGTGGGAGAGCTCAGGAGTACGAGTGGGTTGGTTTTATCACGAATATTGCTGCAAAACCTCTAAGGTTATAGGACTGAATATGAGGGCTATAAATTTGAGGTGCTAGCTAGAATAGCAGAAGAGCCTTCAGAAATTCCCCAGGCATGCAGAAAAGCTTGTACTATTGGGAATTCTTGTCTTGAGATATTTTTCAAATATTTTATAATAAATAATACAATGTGTCAATCCATTTTGAAATACTTACATGAACCAATAAAAGACTTACTGTCTTTGACCAGGGAAATGTAGAGTGTGGAGAAAAGAGAACACATAGTCCCCCTTATATGTGCTGAGCAAGGAGGGTAGGTCACTGGCTGCCCTCACCAGCCCCAGCCCATGGAGGTGGTCCTCTGGCCTGTCCCTTCTTCCAGATCAGTGCTGTTCACTAGAATGGTGATGATGGAATGTTTTATAGCTGCTCCGTCCAACACTGTAGCCACTAGCCATGTGTGGCTATTGAGCAACTGAGATGTGGCTAATGTGACCAAGGAACTGAATTTTTCATTGTATTGAATATTAATTCATTTAAATTTAAACACTTAAACATCCACATGTGGCTGGTGGCTATTGTGTTGGGAAGACAGTTCTTGCCCATTGGATCTTGATAAGCCAAGATGCTTCTCTTTGGGAAGACATTAGTATCCTGCACTTGCAGACTCAATTCTTCCCGTAGTCTGAACTAATTTTAGAGAGAAGAAGACACAATCCAGCTGCCTCCATCCCATCACCCAGCTTGGCTGGCCCCAGGATCTGGTCAGCCACAGACGAGACCCAGCTGCTCACATAGCCTGTGTGAGCCACTGCAATCTGGGTCCAATCCCTTCTTTTGCCCCTGGTCTTCTATCCCAATTTCTACCTAGCCTCCTGTTCAGGGCTGGAGCAGAGTTCTGCTGGGAACGCTAGTCCAGGGGACTAAGGCCTTAAGACTCTCTCTAGCTCTTCCCACTGCTCCTCCCCTCACCTCCACCTCTGAATGAGCTACTATTATGAATGGGTTGAGGAGTACCTGGGTGGCTTAGTCAGCTAAGCCTCTGCCTTCCGCCCAGGTCATGATCCCAGGGTCCTGGGCCCCTCCCTCCTGCTCATACTCTCTCTCTCTCAAATAAACAAATAATCTTTAAAAAAAAAAAAAAAATGAATGGGTTGTGTGATCAGGAGCACAACATGAGCAGCCACCTCCATTTGATTTTCACTCATTATCAGAACCTGCCACCGCTCTACCCATGAAACACCCAGCAACCCCGTCAGATGTCAGGCTAGAGAAATGATTCTGGGATCATTTCACCCCAGTGCTGCTTGAACTTTCTCCTTCACCCAATGCTCTTTCCTCTTTCTCCCCATTGGGCCTATGGTTACAGTTGGAGTCCAGATTCTTTTTTTTTTTAGGATTTATTTATTTGACAGAGAAAGAGTGTGTGGGAGGGGGAGGGGCAGAGGAAGAAGGAGACAAGCAGACTCCCCACTGAGCACAGAGCCTCATGTGGGGCTCGATCCCATGACCCTGAGATCATGCCCCGAGCCAAAATCAAGAGTTGGATGCTTAACCGACTGAACCACCCAGGCGCCCCCCCATTGGGGTCTGGATTTTTAATGCAGCAAAAGTTATTCAAAGTTAAATTGTGTTCCCAGTAGAACTGCAAACACCCAAACATCAATGTGCAGCTAGATCAAATATTTTATTTAAATTCACAAGTGATCCTAGAATATAAAATAGATGTTCATTTATTATTCTTGTGGCAAAAATGGCTACATCTAAGACTTTTTGGTAAAATATCCTGGATTATATAAAATCATCACGTGCTCTGACATTGACTGTTGACATAATTTAGGGAAATGTCTATCAAAACCAGGAGGCTCATGCATGCAACTTGGTATAAATACTTGACAGAAACATAAATGTGTATATTCCCAAAATATAACTGTCCATATGAGTTGCAGCATTTCAGAAGGAAGTGGCTCTTTCTGAATTATGTGAAGGTGATCCATCCACTGAAGGATGATTTAATTCATCATTCTGTCTGAGAAGGGGGGGAGGTGACATTGCTGGCCTGTAGTTCTGAACTCTGTCGTATACACTTGGCAGCCCTTCACTTTGGGATTCACAGACTTGAAAATAACATCCTTTGAGTTCTGAGTGTACCAGTTGGAAATTCATATTTCGCAGCTGGGAAATGTGAGGGTAAAGGATACTTGAAGAAAGTGCAATCCTGTGCCTATTTTCATGAAGCGATGAAAGAGTCTTGCTGTTTGAGATTCCTCGATTAATCTTTCAGGATTCTTAAGTGTTTTTCATTCTGAATGATCTGAAGCAACTTGGAAATAAAATGGAAGAGTGTAAAATATTTAAAAAGTCAGAATGCTATGTGGCAATATACTTAAAAATGCAAACAACATTCAGTTGTTCAGGGACTAGCTTTTTAGCTGTTTATTTTTTTTTCCTTCCTTTGGATTTTCTGCCAATGACTTGTACCTCCACCTGCTGGTGCATTGATGAAATGAAATGGAAATAAAATTCAAGCAACAAAATTAAATAATTTGCTGGAATCTCTGATATAGCTTTGGTGAGAGAAATGGTAAAAATTACAGTCTAAAATGAAATTTCTCAACAGATATTGGTAAGGATGCAGAGAAAGGGGAACCCTCTTGCACCGCTGGTGGGAATGCACACTGGTGCAGCCACTCGAGAACAGTATGGAGGTTGCTCAAAAAGTTCAAAATAGAACTACCCTACTATCCAGCAATTGTACTACTAGGTATTTACCCAAAGGATACAAACATACTGATTTAAGGGAATACATGCACCCCCAACGTTTATTGCAGCATTATCAACAATAGCCAAATTATGGAAACAGCCCAAATGTCCATCGACTAATGAATGGATAAAGATGGTGGTGTACATACACAATGGAATATTACTCAGCCAATAAAAAAGAATGAAATCTTGCCATTTGCATGAAATGGATGGAGCTAGAGAGTATTATGCTAAACAAAGTAAGTTACTCAGAGAAAGACAAATGCCATATGATTTCACTCATATGTAGAATTTAAGAAACAAAACAGATAAACACGGGGAAAAAAGAGAGAGAGAGAGCAAACCATAAAGCAGACTCTTGACTAGAGAGAACAAACTGAGGGTTGCTGGAGGGGAGGTGGGCAGGGGGATAGGTTAAATGGGTGATGGGCATTAAGGAGGGCACTTGTGATGAGCACTGGGTGTTGTATGTAAGTGATGGATCACTAAATCCTACGTGTGAAACTAATATTATACTGTATGTTAAGTAACTGGAATTTACATAAAAACTGGGAAGAAAAGTAAATACATAAATAAAATGAAGGTTCAGAAGAATATCAGTGTGTTTATTAATCCATTTATTCTCTGTGTTAACTATTAAAAGTGAGATGAAAAAATGATAAAAATAATTTCACTAAACTTCTTAATTCCAGCTATCAACATCTAATTCAATTATCTTGCCATCACCGATGTGTCATCCTTTCAATAATCCCACTAAAAGTTTTACAAGAAAATGCAGCAGAGAACTGGAGCATAAACCAAACCATAAATCAGAACATCTCATTTAAAGTCAAAGACAGAAACATCCTCAGGAATGTAAATCGGTCCTAAACCTTTAGAAGACCCATAAAATAAGCGTTTAAAAACCCACTGAAAATGCACTACAGCAGAACATTAAAAGCATGAACTCTGGAGCCAGACTTCTGGAATTGAAAACCCAGCTCAGCCCCTACAGCTGGGTGGTCTTGATCAAAACCCTCTTAACAACTCTTGCTTCAGTTTCCCCTTCTGTGAGATGTGATTAAATGATAGTACCTACTTAATAACATTATTGTGAGGATTAAGTGAGCTAATATCTGTGGAGCACCTATCACAGTTCTTGGTACATAGTAAGTGCTGTGTAAATACTTAATAAATAAAAAAATAAAATGTTGCCATTGAATATAGGTAAGAGGAAATGTTGTGATTATTATTACCACGTAACTATATTCCCCCAGATTGAATGCATCCCCTTGATCACCCTACTGCTTGCCATAGCAGTCCCCTGAGCTACCAACCGATTCAGAGAGCCTGCCCTATTATTATGAAGTTGAAACTGAGTTAAGACAAGAATAAGCTGGTCATTCTCTAAACAGAGAATAAACAGTAGGAGTCCCAGGAATTTGATCTCTTTTAGAAAAGGATAATATAACATTAAATGATCTGAAAAGATAAACTTACTGCAAAATCTTCAAGTTTTGAGATGACACTAAAATCTTCTAGAAAGTAATGCAGCACAATGGAACTTCTAAAAAACACCAGCACAATTTTACCCTAATCTAAAATGCAATATGATAAGAAATAGTCATACACTTGTGATGTATAAGCTGGCTGGGGACTATACCTTTCATCATTCATTTATTCAGTCATTCATTTTTTTAGTACATATTTGATGCTTGATGATTGAACAGGGAACAAATGATAAATACATAAAGTAATGTCAGACAGTGATAAATGATATGAAGGAAAATAAAACTGGAGGAAACAGCTTGAGGTATGGAAGGTATGGAAGGTATGGAAGATCTCTTTGAGAGGATAGACATTTGAACAAAGTCATAAATGAAGGCAGAAGCAGACAATATGAATATCTCAAAAAAAAGCATACCAAGCAGAGAGAACAGCAAGACCCCGAGGTCTGAGATGAAATATGTTTGGTTTATTCAAGAAACAGCAAGAGAGCCAATACAGTAATCTAAATTATCAAGGGGAAGAGTAATAAGAAATCATCTGGGAGAAGCAACCAGGGGCTTGCTTCTGGTTATATAGGTATATAGGTTATATAGATAATATAGGACTTTATGGGCCATGTGTGACTTATTTACAAACATGGCCCCAAAAGTCTCTAGTAATTTTTCAATGTAGAGGAGGGGTCTTTCATCCCCTCCCTTTGAATCTGGGTAGGCTTAAGGCTGCTCGGACCAGTAGAACTTGAATGACTGTACCATTTCTGAGTCTGGTTCATAAAAGAGGATATGCCTTCTGTCTTATTTAGTGGAACATTCATGCTTGCAACCCTGAGCCCCCACGTGACTTTCCTAAGGCTGCCATGCCTAAAAGGGCACATGTAGCCCCCACTTCCCACCCCTTAGTGAGCAATCCTAGACTTCGAATAATCCTAATTCACAAGCCAGACATGCATCTAACTAAGGCTTCCAGATGATTCCAGCCCCCAACCATTACATCTTCTCAGCTAAGGCTTCAAACACTTTGGAGCAGAAACAAGGCATCCCTGCTATGTCCTGTCCAAAATGACCCATGGAATCCATGGGCATAATAAAGTAGTCGTTTTAAACTGCTGCATTGTGAGTCACATTTTGTCACAAAAGGCAGTAGTAATTGGGACACCATGATGAGGATTTTTTTGGGATTTCATTTTAAGCAAGAACTCTTCAGAGAGTTGAATTATGTGACCTGATTTGGAAAACAGTCTGCAAGAGGGCAAGTATGGAAGCCGAGAGTCCCGTCTGGAGTTATCTAGGCAAGAGATGATAGTGTCTGGAGTAGGACAGCCGCAAAGAAGGTAGTGAGAAGAGCACTGATTGGGAACATATTTTCAAAGTAAATCCAATCAGATTTGCTGATGGATTGGAAGTTGAGTGTGGAAAGACACAAATCAAGAATGACCCAAGGATTTGGCCATGGCAGCAACTGAGTGAATAAAGTTGTCATTTACTGAGATACAAACATCAGAGAAAGAATAGGTTTGTAGAATAGAAATCAAGAGTTCAGTTTTGAACATGTAGCATGTCTATTAGATACCCAAATGGAGATGTTGAGTAGGCAACTGGAAATATTAATTTGGAACTCAGGAGATAGGCCAGTTCTGCAGTGCTGTATCCAACTGTAAGGGTCTAATTTTAGGAAAGATATTTACAAACTAGAGGATATTCAGAAAGGGACCAGGATGCAGATGCTTCTAGAAGTCATCTTGTTTAAAAAAAAAAAATGTTGAAGGAACTAAACACAGATTGGACAAAAATATCCATAAAGTGAAGAGATATTTGAATCACTAGGACATACCATCAGGACTCATCTTTGAGAGTAAGGTATCTTCCTTGAGGGACCAAAGATCTAGTGCCCACTTTCATGGAAACTAACACAAAGCTCCCATAATTGATTTTCCCCACAGAACTAGACACCATTACCGAGATTTCGACCTAAAACAAAACTCCCAAACATTATAGGAGGCTAGGTTGAATAGCGTGATGTTGTGTGGGTGCAAGATTCTCGAAACAAAGCACAGCCAAACAAAACCACATATTCATATGCTCCCAGCAAATGACATCCTAGTCTATAAAAAATTTACCTATTCATATGCTATCCACTTCTGAAATCCCCACAAATGGGAAGTTCTCCTTAATGCTTGCGGTACAAAATTATTTTTGTATTACTAACCACAATATTCTGATTTTTTAGTGTTTTAATCTTTTTTGCATTAATAGAGGCAGCTTAATAGGTGATTAAGAGGAGGAAATCTATAGCTGGAATTACTGGGCTAAGATCTTAACTCCGATACTTGGGCAAGTTATTTAAACTCTGTGCCTTGGTCTCCTACCTCCTTGGATTTCTTACAGGGAATAAATAAGTCAGTAAGTGTACCGTATTTAATATATGTAGAACCAGCTAAATAAGAAGTGGTCCAAAAAAACTGTTAGCTCTGTTCAGCAGCACTCAGCATACTCCCCTCTATGAATGCCCATTTGAGATCACTTGTTTAGTTTTTTAAAATTCAGTCAGCCATACAGAATTATGATGACTTTGTGAGGAAGAGCTTCAAAGTCGCAGGTCTGAACTTACCCTCTCGCTTTGTAATCACTGGAAAAGATGCTTTCTTGAAGCCCCCACTCTACTGATGTCAGAACTGGTATCATTCAATTCACTGTCTCCTCTTCTGTTATCTTCACACTAAATTCATCTGGATTTGAATGTGTCCTAGAAGTGAAAAGGACAGACTCACTTTGTTATCCATAAAAATGTACAAAACATCAAACACATTGCTTAGAGAGAACGATTCATACTCTGAAATTACCTTGAACTCGCAGATTTATCCTCTCCACACAGGGATGGGGAATGGAGGGGACCTAGCCTGAATCCTATTTAAAAAGAGGGGTGAGAGTAGCAGTTAATATTTCACACTCAGATATCAAAACTGACAGAACAGGCACAATATCCCTCATGGGGAGTGCTTCATGAAGACAGTATTTAAACCCTGAGGGATGGAGATGTTCCAACTGGACCCACAAGGAAGTTACCAGGGGCAAAATCAGCCAAAACAGACCTGGGCCTCCATGAACACATGACAATCATGCCTCCTTCTGCCTTCATCTGGGAAGAAATTTTCCTCTCAAATAAAAAATAAGTAAGTCCTGAAAAATTAGTCCTTTGAAGTCCCAAATCTGAGCAGGCGCTGAATTTTCATAACGCTCTCGGCACGAAAATCTACTAAAAGTTAATGAGGACACTAAGACTGCCAGGGTGATCTACCTGGGCCGGCAGGATCCCGCTCCTCTCCCCAAGCAAGGAGCACAAGAACACCCCACTATCCCCGGACTGGGAAATCTCCGCAGCCTCACCCTCCTGGGCCTCTGCCTAAAAGGAAAGGGGCAGTGCCTTCGGGAAGAACCTCAGCTGGAAGCCCTCGGAGGCAGCCCCCACCGCTCTGCGACTTGGGCCAGCCTGGCCACTTGTCGCGTGGGACCAGCTCGGGCTATGCTCACAAAGCGTCTTCCTTCGAGTCCTAGCCCCGCCTTGGCTGGAACAAGTCACGGTGGCAATGGCCACCAGCAGAAGGCCGCAGCCACTGGCCAAAACCCCCAACAACACGACCGGGAAGCCAGGCTGCCGCCCTGCTCCCTGCACTGTGCGCCGCCAGGAGGGTCCCCCTCTGCTCCCTCCTTTGGCAGCGACCGAGGCGGCGGCGGCAACAGCACCAGCACCAGCACCACTTTTCCGCCAGGTGGCGCCGAGTCCGTCGGCGCTAGGAGCAAAGCGGTGGTACAGGACAGGGCCGGCGGGCCTCCGTCCAGCACCACGACGACCGCCGTCAGCTGGCCGGTGAGCTGTGGGGACAGGTGGCGCTGAAGAGACAGCTCACCCGTCGGCGAAGTCGCTGCGGAGAAGTGTGTAAATTAGCTCGGCGTTGGGGCCTTCGTCCGCAGTCGGATCACCATGCAGCCCAGGGGCGCGCCGTGGGGCAGAGGCAGCTGGGCTGAGCCACTGAAGAGTGGCAGTATGACCAGCCGAGGTGCGTGGTCGTTCTGGTCCTCTACATGCTGCCACACCACGTCCCGGCGCCCGGGCGACGGAGAGCCGCCGTCGAGTGCTTCCGGCCCCAGCGGCAGCTCGGCCAGTTCACCGCCGTCAAAGCACCGCCGTGCGCTCAGCTCCCCAGTGGTGGGGTCCACCGAGACGTAGGGCGCGACCCACTTCAGCCTCCAGCAGCCGGCAGGTGACCTGGCCGTTGCGGCCCGGGTCGGGGTCCCGGGCGGCCACCGTGGCCAAGTAGGCGCCGGGCGGGTTGTTCTCACGCACCGACACCTCGTAGACCGGCCGTGTGAAGACTGGCGCGTTGTCGTTCTCGTCACTCACGCGCACCGTGTAGGGCCTCACGGTGCGTAGCGGGGGCGCGCCGCGGTCATCGGCCACCAGCGTCAGGTTGTACTCGGCGATGCGCTCGCGGTCCAGCGACGCCGCGGTCACCACCAGGTAGCTGCCCGCGTAGGCCGGCTGCAGCCGGAAGTGCTCCTGCGCGTAGAGGGCGCAGCGCACCTGCCCGTTGGCGCCCGAGTCTCTGTCCGAGGTGCTGACCAGCGCCACCAGCCTCTCGCGCGCCGCCCCCTCTGGCACCAGAGACACGGCGCCGGCCTCAGGTGTCCCGGGCCCGGTCGGCGAGGTCGCGTCCGCACCCCCGAGAGCGGCGGCGGCGGCTGCGGCGGCGAAGGGAGAGGCGGCAGGTGCGCCCGGGGCGGCCAGCGGGGTGATGGTGATGTCCGGAGCGTTGTCATTGACGTCGCGGATGCGCACGATGACCTTGCAGGTGGAAGCCCGGGGCCCTGGACCGCGGTCCTGGGCCCGCACGTCCAGCTCATAGGTGTCCTGGCGCTCGTAGTCCACCGGTCCTGCCAGGGTGAGGCGGCCCGAGCGCGGGTCCAGGCGGAAGAGGCGGCGCGCCTCGGGCGGGGTGCGGGCCCCGAAGGCGAACACCACGTCGCCGTTGGGGCCCTCGTCGGGGTCGGCCGCGTCCAGGTCGAGCAGCAGCGAGCCCACGGGAGCGTCCTCCGCCAGCTCCACTTCGGCCACGGCGCCCTGCGGGAAGGCCGGGCTGTGGTCGTTGGCGTCCAGCACTCGCACGCTGAGGGCGGCCGTGGCGGAGCGCGGCGGGCGGCCGCCGTCCTGGGCCACCAACTCCAGGCTGTAGGCGGCCTGGCTCTCGCGGTCCAGCTCCTGTAGCAGCACTAGGTCCGCGCACTGGGTGCCGTCCGCGCGCGTCTGCAGTTCCACGCGGAAGGGGCTGTGAGGCTCGGCCAGGCGCACGCTCTGCAGCCCGCTGGCCCCCACGTCCTCGTCCACAGGCACCTCCAAGGGGATGCGCGTGCCCACGGCTGCGCCCTCAGACACATCCACGGGGATCTAGGCCCGGGGGAAGCATTGCACATGGTCGTTGATGTCCCTCACCTCCACCTCCACGTGCACCAGCCGGAACTGCTCCTGCGAGAAGCTGACCACGTCGAAGACCAGCACACACTGTGGTGCCTGGCCGTGCAGCTACTCGTGGTCCAAGCCCGCGTCCCTAACAGTCAGCTGCCCGTCGCCCTCGCACACCCCGAACAGTGAGCTATTGAACTTCATCAGGCAGAACTGGCGTGGTACCTCGAACTGGTAATCACACAGGACACGGCCAGACAGAACACCGATATCGGTGCCGTGGGCTTCCTCTCATAGGTGTGGAAATTGACAGTTTGGGTGCAAAACCCTGACACCAGCTGCAGCCACAGAACTTGCAAGAATTCCAGTCTGGCCCAGCATAACGTGTCAGCGGGAAATCTGAGCCTCCAGCAAGACATCTTTGTCCCTCAAAGAGAAAAAAGCCAATCAGAGGCTCTGCGCCCAGACTTCCAGCCTCTCATGCTCTCCTGAGTAGGCAATCAGGAGACACTTGCCCTCTAAATACATCTGATCACTAAACCCTCTCTGCTGTGTGATGGCTTTTCTGTGCTCCAGGCCTAAGCTTGCTTCTTCTGAACCCTATCGAAGAGGTTACATAGAGAAAAATGTGCAAATAAGCATCCATCCTGGCCAGTCTGCAGAGTCTCTGGGTCTTGGGTCACGTTGTTCCCCTAAAAAGTTCACGGAAGACCCTGGAGAGATGAACAAGAGCCAGAGCAGTGCAGGGGGTCATTAAGATCCCTATAGATCTTATAAGAATGCATCCCCCCCTTGCTTTTCCACTGTGCTTGATTTCCACTTTGATGGTAGGAGCAGGGAATCTGCAGCCACTGTGTCCCTTCCTAAACACATTTACATATTCCTCAGAGAGAGATACAATTACTCTTCTCTGCCATTTTTAAACCAACGTTTATATGCATCTTTTGCCACCCACAGTTATCCATCTATGTTGGGGTATCATTTACTGTATTGAAAGATTCTGGGGGAACAGCTTCCCCAGAGTCAGGCAGTGTCTAATCAGGGAAGAACTGTTTTCCAAAGTAATCATTTCTAAATAGCTCTTCTGTAGCAAAGAAACCATTAATGATGAAATTTCAGCCCCTTCATCTCCTTTTATGTCAGTAATTACTTATATGTGAGGAAGTAGTGTCAGGGAGGTTTGTCTACTGCAAACCACTGTAAGGGATAGTTAAGTGTAGGAAAAAGATTCAGGGAAATATGCTGCAGTCAGTCTTGCTAGAAAATTGCTATACACCATTTATTTTTAAAAAGCCCTTGGCTGAAGAAAACCATGGGTGGCCTGATAGGCTGAAGGCTAAAGAAACATTAAACCATCTGTCTAAAGCACAAGAAATAGTCTTGTGTTAAGTTCTCTTTATGTGTGAAATGTTCTAAATGCTAAATGGTCCACATGTTAATGATGACATTGTTCCTCATGTCATGGAGTCATCATCAGTGCAGGGTTCTTTAACTAGTCATCTTGAATAAAATCAGTGAGCAAACTGAGTTATTAATATGCCCCAGCTATTCTTGGCTCCTCCATGATCTGTAATGTTATTGATTCCTGCAGGGACATGTCAGTAAATGACTATTTTTGCTTTCACTCTTAGGAGGGAGTTGCATCTATTTTAGCACCAGGATCTATGAATCCAGTTCTGAAACTGAGCCACCTTTGATGAGATAATTAATTTGCAGGGTTTTAATTCAGTGGAGCATTCAGCAATGACTCTAATTATAAGTACCAATAACTCAACGTCAGAGAAGTTTGCAGTAGGAAGCATGAATTGATTTGGGTTGGGTACTCTGAGATCCTAAAAGGAGAAAGTGCTTTATATTGTTTACTTTAGATTTGTCATTTTGCCTGATGAGGCATCAGTCTAAGGGAGGGAACAACTCTACTACAGTTTAGCTGGACCAGATTCCTTTGAAGCCTGTATCCTCACTGGCATAAAGACAGTTAGCTTTCTTCCTGTGAAGTGGCTATCCTAAAGAAGGACCTGGTTATTCAGCCTCTGGGTCTCAAGGAAAACAAGAGGATCTGACCCTTCCAACTTCTTAATTCCTAGTTGCCCCTTGACTGAAGCGTGAAAACTGATTCAGCTGATGCCTTTTAAAAGGCACATGCTTCCATACACATTAGCCAGGAGAGGGACCCATTTAACCATAGTCTGAGTCTCATTTCTTCCTCTTCTCCCGTATCTGGAGCAATCCTGGCCAGGCTTGGCTTCTGCCAGTCTTCAGCATTATTGTTGCTATTCATGACGAACAAAACTGCTCAGCATCCTGAAAATGAAGAATAGTCATGACTCTCTACAGAACATCAAAAGATCCAGATAAAATATGAAAAAGGCAAGCAATCAAACACATTACCTCTACAATGCTAAACATCTGGACGCTTATGTTTGGAAACATCCAGCTATGATGTTTAAATGCTTGATTGCATTTTTCCTCCAGCTATTTGGCAGCAAGTAGACCATCTACGATAAGGAATATGCTATATTGCTAGTGATTCATTATTAACATTAGCATTGTTTTCCTAGTAAACAACCACCTTATTAAACGCTGCTTTATGAATGAAGGACAGCTGGAGTTTCAGGAAAGAGACATTTTCTGAGGCAAAAATCAGTTCTGTGCCAGTAGAATGACAAGCTGAATAATATAGAAACTGTATGATCTGTCCCCCTGGGGACGTGTCATCAGGAAACTGTGTTTACAGCCCTGAGCTGCTGGTGCTTTCATGTTCCATTCTGTTGGCTCTGTTAGATAAAAATCTGTCTCAATATTAAAAGCATTGTGGCAGAAATTTGGTTTATGTTGCTTGTTTTCCCATTTGCCAGCATATTGCCAAACTAGAAGTCCATAAAGTGTAGTTTTAGTCTCTGTTGGTGTCCAACATAAAGCAAAACAAACAATGGGAGCAGAGGACTACCACCACCACAGGAAGACCAAATTGTGAATAAAACAGCAATTTGGTCCTCTTGCTCAGTTTGGTTTTAAAAGGGGTGAGGTGGCAGGATTTTGGTAAACTCCCTACAGTTTACTTTGTTTCTAATGAAAGCACCAGATACACTAGCATTCTCCCCACAATGCCAGGACACCAGATCTATAAAATAGTATTTGCTTTCTAATCATTTCAAGAAAAGATTTTCTGTTTTGTTGAGCACGCAACACCAGTGTGTCCCTTTACACACTAAAGCACACTGTACAGAAACATCATAAACACCGGGAAAAAAATTGGTCCCGTAATTCAGAATGGTGTCTGTGCCTTTGCATATTTCCTCTTTCCTATTACACAAAACTAATAATGTATGTGGGCGGGGGGTGGGGGCGGATGAAGGCACAGGAAATTCCCTAATGTGCAGATTTCACTAGACCATGGTGTCCATGCATCAGAGTAAGCATCAACTCTCACAGGATGTTGAACTAACACTGTCCTGGCCCAGAAACAGTTTTTGTGCCATTTAGAACAAATCACTCTATGTAATATACTGAGACCCATTTTCATTTCTCAACCGAACAAACATCCTATAGAGGAATGAGCAAAATATTATCAAGTGCAATGTTGCTGTCTTCAAGGAGTTAAGTTCCAAAAATTGAAGCTATTAAGACTGTTTGAAAGAAAACAAATCAACCTAACAGCTCTTTTTTTGCTTTTTAAATATCATTCCTTAAAAAAACTAAAATTAAACTTCAGCAGTATGAGCCCCCAAAACAGGGTAATTGTTTTAAGTTATCACATAAGAAGTACCATTATCTCATTCCTGTTACTCCATTGTGTAATCAATGTGTTATCATGCCTTGACCTTACAGTCATTGCTAAGAAACTTATCAGCAAATTGCTGGTCCTTTTTATGAAATGATTTCAGGAAAAATAATTCAGCCCTGAAGTCAACCAAAATACTGTCTACAAGCACAGAATAGGAACAAGATGATATTTTACCAACTATTTAAGTGCTTTAACCTAGAGAAAATCAGAGGGAACCACAATAGTGTATCAACACTAATCAAATTCCCCTTAACATAAAACAAGGATTTAAATGATATAATCTTTTTTTAGAAAAAAGTTTCCCATAGGATCATTACGTTAATAAAGATATCATCAAAACTATATAATCTTAAGATACTACATAAAACTCGTTTTTAAACTGCTGATTTTATTAGTCTAGCAGTATGAAGGACATTAAATCAATGAATAATGAAAAATAGCTTACATTTTTTGTCTCAGGGATGCCTCAAACCCCAAGTGAGCCAGTGAAATGGACTTTGGTACCTGACTTCAGTCACTGGCCCAAGGATCATACTTTGTATTCTTGCCACCGGATAGAGAGGAAACCTGCTCCCCGACCAGAGATTGTAGCAAAGCAAGAGAAGAATAAAAGAATAAAGACTGAGAAGCAACTTTTTAATCTGTGCCTTATTTTATCTTCATCTTTCTTCCTCTTAGCTGATCCTCTCTGTTCCTACTCTACACAGAAGCTCATGTCCCCCAGTAGTCAGAGTGTTTTCAGGGCCTTGATCAACAAATATTTGATCAAGTATTGGTGATATAATAAAGCTCACAGCCCTCTAGAAGAAACTGTTTAAATGTTAAAAAAAAAAAAAAAATCAGGGACACCTGGGTGGCTCAGTCGACTAAGCGTCTGCCTTCGGCTTGGGTCATGGTCCCAGGGTCCTGGAATCAAGTTCTGCATCGGGCTCCCTGCTTAGCGGGGAGTTTGCTTCTCCCTCTCCCACTCCCCCTGCTTGTGTGCTCTCTCTGTCTCTCTCTCTGACAAATAAATAAATAAAATCTAAAAAAAAAAAAAAATCAGAGTTCAGAGGTCACAAGTGCCAAACGACTTGCAGAAAGTTGTATCAAGTGCAAACAAGAAGTGATCTCAGAGTTTCCAGGTAAAATCACAGGCAGCCAGAACTGCCAAGGACAGATAAAGCCTGGGAATGACATGAACAAGCTGTGAAGGAGGACAGTCCCAGAGCCTTTTACAGAGACCTAGTAGAGTTGGTTAGAGTAGGTGATTTGAGGACACTACGGGGATGAGTTTGAATGGGTGGCATAGTTGAAGACCTTGTTGCTAAGCTAAAGAGTTCAGATATTTTTTTGGAAGGGGTAAAAATTATTATTTTTATTAAACCTCAACTCTTGAATACATTTTTAAGTATAACTAACATACAGTGTCTATTAG